TGTGTTCATTATGGATTAGCCCCATAGCCCCACATGAAATCCCGTTAGGCCAAAGTGTGTTTACCAACAAGCAGCAAGTGACTTTAGTCCCACAATCTGCAGAACCTGTACATGAGCAAATGTGCTAGTGCCTCCACTTGGCTATTTTTGCCCTACCACATGGAAGGAAATCGTTTCCTACTTCGAGCAGGAGAACTCCCAGCCCAGCTACCCCCGTTTTGTGTAGCATAAAGTTGAATCACTGTTAAATCTGTAGGCTTCACAAGTTATCCTTGCAGAGGAAGGAGGCTGGGAAGTTTCAACACTTCCTGCTTATAAGAAGGAAGGGCAAGACCATAAAGTAGCAAATACATAAATAGCCAAACAAACCATTTTAAAGTTCTACTTACTCTCAGATGAGTGAGAGAAAAATCTTTTGGATTTTTCTTTTAGATAGACTTGAAAAGTCAACATGATGAACTTCTTGCGTGCTCTAGAGTCATAAGATCGCTAAAGACGCAAGACGACTGTTAACGCCACTGACATATCACTCCCAGCCCTGGCTGCTGTGAACCAGAACTGCAGACTGCTCAGAGCAAAGCACATAACATTCTTCTCTCTAATGAAATGAAGGGTAGTTTGGCCTTTAGGCAAGCAATCTGTTTTGAGAGAGTTGGGCTCCTCCAGCAAGGTCAGAAGACAAACTGTGAATGCTCCTATGAGATCTTGGCAATTTATGCCAGAAACATGAAGTGAACTATTTTTCTGTCCCAAATTCAGGAATATTTTTCCTGGCCAAAACCAAGATTCCAGGGAGTTGGGCAGGCTTGTCACTTCTCATACCTGGCACGAAGCTGGCTGCTTTGCAGCTTTGGCCTTGGATAATTTGAAAGACACCCCCAGAACTGACTTCAGCCTCAACACAGGCAGGCATCCAACCATGCCTCGCAATGCAACAGACTCAGCCCGCATGACCGCGCTGGAGGCCTGTGGTGTCCAGCTCCGCCCAAAATGAAGAGGCATGGTAGGGGCCGATGACTGTCTCTGTACCAAATACACGCTTTTCTTCCCCTCAGCCATTCAACGCAGGCAAGGCCTTCCCACAGCTGTCTTCGAGTTCAAGGCTTTGGTTTTTATCATAAGATTGCCCCTTAGAACTCCCTGGCCAAGACTCGCCAATGTTGCACATGTCAGCCTCCCTCTGGAAAAACCACTCTGACTTTGATCTAAATGGCTACAGGACTTTAACACTTAAGCGCCACTGCTCTGATAACTTCTCAGCCACTGACAAAGTGGTAGAAAATGAAGGGTGGTTTGGCCTTTAGGCAAGCTATCTTTTTTTTTTTTTTTGAGACAGAGTTTCGCTCTTGTTGCCCAGGCTGGAGTGCAATGGTGCAATCTTGGCTCACCGCAACCTCCAGGTCTCAGGTTCAAGCGATTCTCCTGCCTCAGCCTCCTGAGTAGGTGGGATTACAGGCATGCGCCACCACACCTAATTTTGTATTTTTAGTAGAGACAGGGTTTCTCCATGTTGGTCAGGCTGGTCTCAAACTGCCAACCTCAGGTGATCCGCCCGCCTCAGCCTCCCAAAGTGCTGGGATTCTAGGCATGAGCCACGTGCCTGGCCAGGCAAGCTATCTATTTGAGAGAGTGGGCTCCTCCAGCAAGGATAAAAGCCAAACTGTGAATGTTCCTATGGATTTGCACCCCACCTGTGCCTTACACACACAGCACTCCTAACACATCTCTGATCGCCAAGAGGCAACTTCGTCATGGGGCACCTGCCCTGCAAGCCAGAAGCAGCGAGGCCCAGCTCCAGTGAGCCTGGGGAAGCTCTTGGCCATTCCATTTCCTTATTTATTAGACAAGGATATTAGTGTCTATCTCTTAGGGCTGTGTCATATCTCAAGTGAGATGGGATGAAATACTCCATAAGCTGTAAACTTGTATGATTGTCCATTGTCATGATCATCTTCTTTAGAAAGCAGCTGATTCTGTGACTAGGCTGCTCTGTTACTAGAATCTTACTCTCACTCTGCCCTCAAATCTGACCTTTTGTGCCCCCTACCTGCTGACCTCAGGCTGACCATCCAGAGCAACTAAAAAAAGGCTGCACCCCTTCTACGGAACAGTCCTTCACACAGCCAAAGACACTGAGCAAATGTGCCTTGACTCTTCTCTTACCTCAGTTTTCTCCACCAGTCCTTGGCTGCCAGGATTCATACCCCCTCACCACTCCAGCTGTCCTCTGTCAGGTGATCATTGCTTTCTCTGTACCACACGCACCAAGGTCCCCAGAACAGAACTCCATCCCCAGTTAGTACTGCCTGGGATCTGCCCGTGCTTCTCATAACACAGCTAAGATTATGCTAATGTTCAAGAAGCTATGTTGGCTCCTAATGACGGGGTGATCATTGAAATCCTCCATGCCCAGATCTTCAGCCGTGCTGCAGGCCAGGGCTTTGCCTCGGATAGTTACAGAATCGAATCCCAGCACTTCACACTTCACTTCTATGCCATGGGTTTGGCTCAGTATCCTCACCTGCTGAGATCCTTTTAAATGAGTCTATTCCTTAAAAAAAACAAAAAACAAAAAACAAAAAAAACAGAAAAGCATTCTTTCTAAGTTGTTATTCACATCATATGAGGGAAAAAAAGGTTAAGAACAAAGACTGAAGCTGCAGGCTGGCTGCAGAGCTGCCCTGTCCAGCCTAGCAGCCACTAACCACAGTTCAACACTTGAAATGTGCCCCGTCCAAACGCAGACGTGCTGTAAATGTAAAGCACACCAGATTTCAAAGGTTTAGAACAAAAAAAGTAAAACATCCTAGGGAATTTTTTTGTATTGACTACGTGCCAAAATAATACTTTGGATGTATTTAGACATATTAGGTTAAATAAAATACACTATAGAAATTAATTTCACTTGTTTCTTTAAAAAAATTTTTCACATGATACTAGGAAATGCTGTCTCCTGTGGCCTGCATATTTCTGTGGGACAGCAAACTGTTCTAGAGATCTTTCTCCAAGACAACATCAATCAGCACTCCTGCTTTCAACATGGTGAATCTGCCCTGAGCTGTCTTCACCATCTCCTAATTCACATTTCACCATTTTAGCCATGAAGATATTCTGGGGAAGTTTTGCCAAATGCCTTCAATTTATATATTCAATACATTTCTGTTATAGCAACCTTTCTGAAGAGAGGGCGAGAGGAAGAGAGAGAAAATGAAAGGCTGAGACTCGGCCCGGCTCAAGTAAGGGAATCAACATGAAACAGCCCACGCCATTATCTCTGGGCAGAATTTGAGGAGCGCAGCAGTTAAGTGCCTGTATTTAACTTAGATTCTGAGACAGAATTACAGCTTAATAAACGTCTGCTAAACAAGTGGGCGATGAACAATCTGCCTGTAGTAAAACCTTTATTTAGCTCCTCCCCTCCAGGCCTTGATTTAGCCTCAGACAGACAGGGAACCCCTGGCCCCAAAAAGAACATGCACTTTAGAGTCAACAAAAGCTAACACTGCATCGTGGCTCCACCTCCTGCTAATTCTATGACCTTGGACGTGTGACTTGACTTTGTGGTTTGCTCCCCTAGCACCACATACTTCTGTAGGTTTTCCTGGGGTCATAACCATTTTAACAGGACGGCTAGGCAGTGCCGCCCCTGCCAGTTCATGCTACTTCTGGTCTCCACCCTCACAGAGGACGAAGGCATGTACCAACAAGAGGCTCCTGCATCCTGACAGTGACTGGCACTGCCCGGCCACTTATTTTCTTGTCTTTAGCAGGTATCTTTCTTTGAACCTCACAGTTCGAGAGTGGGAGATGGGTTTGGGGCTCAGATCAGTGCCAGAGGCCTTGTTCTATTGCTATTTGCATTTTTCTCCTTCCTATTAGCTCTTCCCTTCCATTAACAAAAATATTTCTATTGAAAGCTAAGAAAAAGCTTGCCCTGTAACTAAAGAGGAGGCACAAGCAGAATGTTCTAGACCTATACATCACTGCTTTTTTGAAACTTATCCTCCTGTAGTCTGACCCTGCTACAGCTGTGGGACTAGGAAGCCCACCGCTGCCGTGCCCGCCAACCCCCCTCCCCGCCCATCCCACCGCACCTTGTGGCCGACCTCTGGACCGGATCAGGGGTCAGCACCAGCCCAGAACTCATGGCATCGCCTGGCCCATGAGAGTGACTCATTCCTTCAGCTATCTGAACTGGAAGATCCAGAGTCAAGTTAGATGGTTTCAAGCTCTGGGATTGTAAAGCCTTGAAAAGCTGGGGACAGAGGCAGTACGAGGGTAACCTAAGTCACAGGTCAGTGGGTACTATGAGGGAACAGAAACAAGAGTCTTGCAGAGAAAGCTGTAGCTGACAGGGCACTGGAAAAAGCAGAGACAGGAGACCACACAACCTCAGAGAGAGACAGGGGAACAGCTGCCCCAACTCTCTGCCCCTCCTGCTCCTGGTTCGTAAGGTTCCTCTGTCACACACCAGGCACACCATTTATTCTTGAGCTTTTGTGATGCGTCTTTTTTCTGAGACAGGTTCTCACTCTGTCACCCAGGCTAGAGTGCAGTGGCATGATCTCAGCTCACTGCAGCCTCTACCTCCCTGGTTCAAGTGATTCTCCCTCCTCAGCCTCCTGAGTAGCTGTAATTACAGGCGTGCGCCACCATGACCGGCTAATTTTTCTATTTTTAGTAGAGATGGGGTTTTGCCATGTTGGCCAGGCTGGTCTTGAACTCCTGATCCACCCACCTTGGCCTCCCAAACTGCTGGGATTACAGGCCTGAGCCACCATGCCCCTTCTGCACCTGTAACCAGACAAACTTCAACCAAGACACCTTTCCATAAGTGTTCTACCCAAACTTCCTCTTTTCCCCGAGTGGCCCTGAGGCTTTGCAAAACAGCCACTGGCACCTGCTGGAACCTGGGCTGAGGAGGAGAACTTTGATTCCACACATCCTTGGCCAAACGACAACACAGACACCTTGGCCCATCCCTGATTACTTTTTTTCAAGAGGGAAAAGTTTATTGCAGGTTGGGTACACTTGTAAAAGGCAAAATCTAACAATGAGAACGAACTATAGGGCCCACCAGTTTAGAAGATGAGCAGGTAAAACAAATACACGGATTATGTACAATTATTAAAAAGAGCAGGGTGGTGGACAAAAAGGAAAAACTGCCAGCAGCCTTCCAGAAAGTTCACAGAGTATATCCAGGGAGCACCTTCCCTCCCAGTCCTTGCTGCCTGGGGCGCGCCTCCTCCTGTGGTTACCTGCCCTGCTCCAGATGAAACGCAGATGAGGAAGCAGGCACCGGGGCTCAGGTGTGGAGCTTGTTCTGCTCTGCAAATCGCTGGCTTGCGGAGAAGCAGCCGCTGGGTGCCGCGTGTGCCAAGCTTCTCATTAAAAAACCCAGAGGGCAGGTTCACAGGCATTTCCTAACACACGTGTGGGAAGAGCTGGGGGAAACCCATAATGCCCAGGGAAGAAGTGGCTTCTCCCATCATCTGTGTACAAATGAATACCCAGCATTGTCTCCGGTGAGCCCAGTGCCCCAAGCCAAATGGCTGAGCACGCAGCATCGGGCATCTGAGCGCTTCTCAAAGCCTGCAATCCACGTCCAAAGACCAAATCGTCCTCTCAGGCGCTCACTTCTTCCATTAGAAAGCCACTCCTCTTAGCCACAGGACATCCACAAAAGGACAAATGCAATTCTAAGTCTTTTGTAAAAAAAAAAAAAAAAAAAAAAAGAAAAGAAAGAGAGAGAAAGAGAGAAAAGAAAAGAAAGGGAGCGTTCTGAGTCTATTTAAATAAGGAAAAGGGCCTTGGTTCACCCAAAGTGTTTCTATAAAAATGCATCGAACACTGGAATAAAGTTGCACATTCTCCTGGTGAAGCTGTAAAATGTCCAACAAACTGAAAATGACTGGGGATGATCTGGAACGAGTCTCTCCAAACAGCTGTTGGCAGCACGGATGCAGCCTTTGATGTCTCCAGGAACCAGAAGGTAGAGCCCAGAGCACCAGGCCAGGCTCCGGCACGCAGGGCTCCGGTTCCCAGGCGGCCTGCGGAGGACCCGCGAACTCAGGCGCAGGCGGTGAGGACGGAGAGGCCTGCAGCAGGGAGGCCGGTGAGGCTGAGCAGAGGGCTGGCTTCCTGGGTGGCAGCGGGCGGCTTTGCCCGTCTGCAGGAGGCTCAGTCTCGGTGGCGGCGCCAGGTTCCTGCCCGGTCACCACCCGTGGCAGCAGGAGGACAGTTGGGGGTGGGAGATTCCGGAGGGGTGGGGGCCGGGACTGCTTCCCCAGGCACAGGGGTCTCCTCCACTGAGGGAGGACCTGGAGAGATGGGCTCCATCCCAGGCCTGCCGCCGTCTTGACAGTGCTTGCTGCAGAAAATCTGCCCCTCCTTATCTAGAGCCGTGTTCTGAGGAGGAAACAGCAGAGACAACACATTACCCAGGCCCAGGCTCGGGTCCCAGCTGCCACGAGCGGAGAGCACGACAGAGCATGCACGGGCCTCAGAAACAGAAGAGGAGAAATAACGCCAAGCCTCTAACAGAAGCCTCACAGGAGAGCAATGGTTTCGGGAACCCACCGGGGGAAGGGGCTGTCCGCGACCTCTGTTCCTACCCTGACCCAGGCTGGCAGCCCAGGGAACACTGGGTGTCTGTTGTCTTCTCTCGCTTTGGGCTGTGCCTGGGTTCTCACTGCTTCAGCCCAAGCCCAGACCTTAAGCTCAAAAGAATTCTGAGACAATAAGCAAACCTTACGAGGGTGCTCGGCCTTGAACAGTTTACTTTTCCAAAGAAAGTTCTCTGTCACAAATTGAAAAGTTACCCATATGTCCTGTGAATAATTAATCCTTCTAACAACCTAAGCGGCTGTGAAGCCTATAAAAGGCCCAGGAATCAGATGGAGCCATATTATCCTTTTTTGAGATCCTCCAGGATCTCCTCACCTGTCTTCTCTTCACGTGAAGCAAAGCTTCCTTATCCTGACACGTCTTGAAAGTTTTTAAATCTGTTCAGCTCTTCAAGGAACAGAGAAATAGCCACGAAGATGTGAGGCAGTCACCTGCGTTCTGAGCCTGGCTGGGGAAGGGAGCCTGGTCCTCCTTTTTCCTTCTCTATTTCCTGCTTGTCCAGGGAAGTCCATCAAGCTGCCATCTCACTGGGCTTCCCAAAAGTGAAGGAGATGGCAGTTCCCAGGCACCTTTAGCTGAAAGGGACAATTGCCAGGAGGCATTTTCTAATCTAACTACCCTGGGGAGGGAGAGGGGAACATGCACTGGAGATTCTTTCAGTACTTTAACAACAACAAAAAAATCTGGAGAAAATAAGAATCAACAACAGGGCTTTCTAAGATGAACTTGGGTGGCTGCCTCCAGGGCACCTGAGGCTACCTATGGAATGGCTGCTTCTCCACCGGCCCTGCCAAGTTCAAGCTGAACAGTCATCTATTTCTGGCCAGGTGCGGTGGCTCACACCCGTAATCCCAGCACCTCGGGAGGCCAGGGAGGGAAGATCACTTGAGGTCAGGAGTTTGAGACCAGTCTGGGCAACACGGAGAGACTCCATCGCCACAAAGAATTTAAAAATTAGCCGGGCATGGTGGCATGCACCTGTAGTCCCAGCTACTTGGAGGCTGAGGCAGGAGGATGGCTGGAGCTCAGGAGTTTGAGGATACAGCGAGCTAGGATCACACCACTGCACTCTAGTCTGGGCAACAGAGCAAGACCCTGTCTCAATAAACAAAACTCCCATACCTCTACAATTTCAAAGGACCATTTCAACTACCTGGAGAAAGGGTAACTGTGGAAAACTCCATTAAAAGATGCTCCCACCTACATGGGAAGCAGAGAGCCAGCATACAGGTCTTTCCTACCACAAAAGGTCTCCTGGGTACAAGAAAACAATCCCCCCCGTTATTTCTCCTTTTCTCTTCCTGTCAGGAGCACAGGGGCATGTGCAGCAGAAGGCAGGCTGGCAGTGCAGTTAGTACATACCATGGCCTTGGACCTAGCCAGAGCGAAGCAATGCAGGCGGCGGGAGAGGCAGAAGGCAGGAGAGAAGCAGGGACAGAAACTAGACTTACTTTCAACAGAAGCAACACGAGTGAAACAGTTTTGTCTATCCTTAAATTAAGGCATAAACCCAAATCCTTCCCCAACTTCCCCCTGAAACAAGGCATAATCCCCCAGCGAAGAAGGCAATGCCCTTGAATCCGCCCCTTCTCAAGTCTGCACCACAGGCGCCGAGTGACGGCAGCTTCTCGGCATTTCCTTCCCGCCACAAGATGGTCTCTCCTGGTCTCTGCAGCCGGGCGAGCCCCCCGGGGTACATGGGAGGCCGTCCTGCGTGCACCCTGCTCTGTCCTTTCTTACACATGCTAAGGACAAGTCCAAGAAAACAGAACTGTAATTCCACACCTCAGCCCTGCCTGAAACCAAGGCCTCGCCCATTAAATGATCTTCTCTTATCCCAAAGGCTGGCTGAGATTACACTTACTGATACAAACTCATCTTTGGAAACGCAGCTGGAGAAAGAACAAAAGCCTTCACAAAGGCACCCATCTTAAGCTGCCCTTTCCAAAAAGCCACTTTTCACCTAAGTGGGAAACAGCACTGGCAGAACGACGGGACTCCTCCCGTTCTCTCACCAGCTGTTGGTCTGGAAAGGCAGGCAGTGTGGCAAGCTGAGAGGTTTTAAAATGAAGTTTTCCAGGGGCGTGCTTGGCTGGCTGGAAAGGATGTGAGTAGGTACAGAAGACCCACACCAGTAAGCAGCTGAGAGCCGGACGGCGGCATGAGAAACTGAGACAAGCATGCAGGCGTGAGAGGGGCTGAGGATGGGGTGCGCTGGTCGGGCACAGCATGGTGAATACCAGGATTCTGCTTCGGGCTCTCCCACTGTCTCAGCGGGGTAAAGAAGGAAACTCTGAGGTGCCTCTCAAACTGTCAAATCAAACTGTCAAATAAAACGCAGATAACACCATCAACTTTACTTTCTTTCACCTTATGGACCAATTCCTAGCCCATAATTTTCTCACTGAAGCCTCAGGCCCCAACTTTGGGGGTGAGAACACCAGCGTGATAGCAGATGGAAAGGTCCTATCTGTAGGTGACACAGCAGTTGTCTGATGATTCAACCTCCAGTCGGTTGACACTATTTCCACTATCATTTGTATCTGCAGAAAACCAGGTTGGCCCCACAGTCTCAGTTATGAGTACCAGGGAGAGTCATTTTGAGGTTATTTTTAATATAAAAACACTTAAAACTGTTCCCGAAGACAGGACACACAGATGCTCAGTGACGTGAGGAGGATGAGGACGAGGAGGACGATACAGCAGCGTCACGAGTTCCCCCACACAACCGTGCCCCGGATGGGGTCCTGCACCAGGGGAGGACCAGCAGCAGGCCTTCCTCTCCCGCTTTTGGGGACAGCCCCAAATTCACAGGCTGGTGTTTTGGCCATCGAGAATGGGTGCCGCCAGAGACAAGCCTGATTGAATTTTCCTGCAGGTCCTGAATGGGATCATGACATCAGCAGTTCCCCCGAGCTAACGGCCCGCAGAGTTGTGTAGGGAACACGGGGTTAGAGGGGACACCCCTGCCAACATGCGCGGAGTGACTACCGAACACACGTAAACACACAACATTCACAATCGCCATCAGAACTGCAAACAAAAGAGGGTTGTTCGTTTACACAAACACCCTGTCAGAGCCCAGGGGTTTGTTTTTCGACTGTTGAACTCCTCATCAGCAAATGGGAAATGGTATTTGTAAACCACACAACATAGGTTTTGTCTGAGGGGGTCTAAGAGTCATCATCCAGGACATAGCCTGTAGAACGGCTAATCACTCCAGAACGTCAGCTCAGAGCCAGCCAGAAAGAGGCCGGGCACAGGCCTACAGCCGCTGATTCCTATCTGAGCCCCTGAGTCAAAAAGTGACCCCAGCAACGACTCCTTTCACAGTCTCTGAGCAAACTCTCCGAAGCCCTGGGCACAGGGTGGTTAAAGGTTCTTCCTCTCAGAAGACTTAATATGGTTATTAAATTCCGATCCCAACCAATCTCTCAAGGTTTTTCATGACATGTTGAGTATGCCAATTTTTAATGTTTTATTTTTCTAAATTTTCCAAGAGGCTGCCTTACAACGCAGTGCACGGCGAGGCTATGTACCACTGAGCCCATCCATCAATGCTAGCTCTCGCAAGGGAATCGCTGGAAACATTCTCGTGCTGTTGGCTCAATCAGGATGGTTCTTTTCAAAGTGTCTACGCTGTAATTCTTTGACAACTCTGACTTTCTCAGGCTTTCAGCAAAACACTGCTAAAATTCAAGGGAAACCACAACTCAAAAGGTCTTCCCACTGCTTTGGCACAGAGCACCCCCAAAGTCCTGCAAGCCATCAAAAGACTCAGCTTGCAAACTCAGGCTCTGTCTGGAGAGAGACGCAGAGCACACTTTCTGGCAGGGGAGCAGCTGGGGAGCTGCAAGGACACACAGAGAGCAGCCACTTCAAAGCAGCCACCCCGGGGACAGAAGAGAAGGACGCCCAGTGGGTGCTGAGAACCTGGTGGGTGCTCAGTCCATGTAACAGAGTGCTGCACGATCGTAGGGGGTGTGGGGTGTGGGGTGTGGGGTGAGTGGGGGTGTGGGGTGTGTTGGGGTGTGGGGTGTGCTGGGGGGTGTGGGTGTGGGATGTGTGGGGGTATGTGGATGTGTTGGAGTGTGTAGGGGGTTGCTTGGGGGTGTGAGGGTATGTAGTGTGTGGCGTGTGTGATGTGTGTAGGGCATGCATGGGGGTTTGGGGTGTGGGGGTGTGGGAATGTGGGTGGTAGGCGGGTGTGGGGATATGGGGCGTCGGGAGTGTGTGTAGAGGTTTGTGTGCAGTGTGGGAGATGTGGGGTGTGTGGAGTGGAGTGTAGGGGCTGTGGGGTGTGTAGGGTGTGTGTGTAGAATATGTGCAGTGTGGGGATGTGGGGTGTGTGGAGTGGGGTGTGGGGTATGGGGTATGTGTGGGCGGTTGAGGAGTGTGTGTGTAGCATATATGTGGGGTGTGGGGATGTGGGGGGTGTGGAGTGGGGTGTGGGGGTGTGGAGTGGGGGTTGGGATGTGGTGTGTGGGGATGTGAGGTGTGTGGAGTGGGGGGTGGAGGATGTAGGGTGTGTGGAGTGGAAATTGGAGGATGTAGGGTGTGTGGAGTGGGGGGTGGAGGATGTGGGGTGTGTGGAGTGGGGGGTGTGGGGTGTGGGGGATGTGGGGTGTGGGATGTGGGGGGTGGAGGATGCTTAGGGTGTGTGGAGTGGGGGGTGGAGGATGTAGGGTGTGTGGAGCTGGGGGTGAGGGTGGAGGATGTAGGGTGTGTGGAGTGGGGGTGTGGGGGATGTGGGGTGTGTGGAGTGGGGTGTGGGGGGGTGGAGGATGTGGGGTGTGTGGAGTGGGGGTGGAGGATGTAGGGTGTGTGGAGTGGGGGGTGTGGGGATGTAGGGTGTGTGGAGTGGGGTGTGGGGGGTGAGAGGATGTAGAGGTGTGTGGAGTGGGGGGTGGGGGATGTAGGGTGTGTGGAGTGGGGGGTGGGGGATGTAGGGTGTGGAGTGGGGGATGTGAGGTGTGGGGTATGTAGAGGGTGTGGGGATGTGGGTTGGTAGCCAAATTGGGCAGTGTGGGGGATGTGAAGTGTGGGGGTATGTGGGAGGTGTGGGGGATGTGAGGTGTGTGGAGTGGGCAGTGTAGGATATGGGGTGTGTGTAGGGAGTGTAGAATTTATATAATTGTGTGTGAGGTGTGTGTAGGGGTGTGGGGATATGGTGTGTGGGGTGTGTGTAGGGGGTGTGAGGTGTAGGGGGTGTGGGGTATATGGTGTGTGTGTAGGGTGTGTGGCCAAGGGGGTGTAAGGGGATATGGTGTGTGTGAGGTGTGGGGTGTGTGTGGGGTGTGTACTTAGGGTATCGATGGGATGTGAGGTGTGGAGTGGGCGTGTGGGGATGTGAGGTGTGGGGTATGTGGGGGGTGTGGGGGATGTGGAGTGTGTGGAGGATGTGGGGTGTGTGTGGGGTGTGTATTGGGGTGTGTACTTAGGGTATGTGGGATGTGGGGTGTGTGGAGTGGGGGATGTAGTGTGTAGGGTATGTGTGGGATGTGGGGTGTGTGGAGTGGGGGATGTAGGGTGTGTGTGAGGTGTGGGGTGTGTGTGGGGTGTGTGTAGGGTATGTGTGGGATGTGGGATGTGTGGAGTGGGGGATGTGAGGTGTGGAGTGGGGGTGTGGGGGGTGTGGGGGATGTGGGGGTGTGGGGGATGTGCAGGTGTGGGGGATGTGTGGTGTGGCGGATGTGGGGTGTGGGGGGTGTTGGGGTTGGGGGGATGTGGGTTATGTGTGTGGCTTCCTTACAGCTTCTATCTGGACCCTGCATCTTCCTAGGTAAGACTCCCAGATGACCATGCACCATGAGAATATGCCACTGTTTCCTTTCTAGTTGGGGAAGAAACAAGGAGGACCTTGCCAGAGGGTGAGAGGCCTGTCCCAAGTACGAGTGACAGAGCTGTGGAGATGGCCCATCCTTAGCTGTCAGGACTCAATGTGGTCACAGGGGGGCCCAGATGTGAAACTCAGACACTCATCACCTCAGCAGGTCTGATTCGAAAGCCGCTCCAGCCAACTCTGGCTCTAGGAAAGGCAGCTCCACCCCTGTTCTATGCTCCTGGGAGTGCGGTGGGGGGAACTGAGGTCCCTGCCTGGGTGGCTGGTTGGCTTCCACCGCTCCCAGGGAGCTGGCTTTCCAGCCCAGCGTCGCACTGGCTCAGGCCTGGACAGCTGCTGCGGGTGTGCTGCCCTCACCTCTGGTTCAATGTTTTTTCCTTTTGATTCATTTACTCTCATGTCACTTTTCATTTTAATTTGTTGTGTTTATGTATTTAGAAAAGTTGCCTTAAGAAACATTTTGGAAGAAAGGCTGAAAAAATAAGGCCATCATTGTCACTGACATCTCATAAACTGTTAACCCTGAAAAACAAATATATATATATATATTTTTCCTTGGTTCTGTACTTTTAAAAGCCCCAAACTGTTTTTTAGAAAACACTGATTTTTTTAAAACTGAAATTTGTTTAGCTTTGGCTATTTCTTATGCCAAGTCTCAAAGAATAATTCACATCTCTAATCATCTATTTTTGAGGCCTTGAATAGGCAGGGAGTTAATTCCTAACACAACAAATCTCACCAGGGCTTGGGAGTCTCTCTAGATGAGAAGGCAGAAACAAGAGTAGAAGCAGCTGCCCAGAGGGCCCGGCCAGGAGCTCCGTGGCACCTGGACCCCTCAGACCAGCCCTGTTGGTCCCTGCACAAGCCCCTCCACATAGTGCCCCAAGCCGGGGAGTTGCCAGACAAATGCCCTCCACATGCCAAGCCAATCTCCGTATGAAATAGGACCATGGAAGGCACCAACTTCCATGTGAGGGCAGCTCCCGGCTATCTAATTCAAACACTTCAAGGCCGGCTCCACAGACAGGCCAGATGCTGCCACCTTCCACTCACCATGATGACGGAGACCCCGGTGGTAGTGCTGTTCTGTTTGGGGAGCGCATTATTAAAGTGCTGTTTTAGTTTACCTGTTACCTCAGCTTGCATGTTATTCTCCTGGGAGGCATCATCCTACAGGAAAGAAAAGAATCACATACAATGCTTTTTCCATCCTCCCATTTCAGTTGTCTTTTCCTTAAGAGTCTCCCTCCCAGCCCCACCCTCCTGACCTCTTCCTGAATGGGCCCCTCTTAGCCACAGAATTAGGGAAACAATGATCTTTCAAAAATAACTATTGTTATTCAGCAGTCCCAGGCCCTCAGAAAGACCCCACACCATTCCCTTTGCCCCTCAGTACTAGAGTAGGCCCAGGAGAGGGCACAGGTCTCCCGGGACACAAAGCAGGATACCCTTCAGGCTACTGAGACCCTCACCCAACGCACACAATTTAGTATGATCCCTCCCATGGAAGCATCAAAGGTAACTGGTTTTCACTTTAATCAAGAATTCATTTAGTTGTTAGTCTTTATTGCTTATAATAAACAAAACCAAAAAATGTGGCATCTTAGCTACTTGGCCCAAGACCCACATCATTTAGCCCAAGAGAGCAGTGAGCAGGGTCCAGAGAGACTGCACCCGGATGGGGAGTGGGTGGGGCAGTGGAGGTGCACAGGGAGCTCCCCAAACCCGAGTCAACAAAGCCCTGGGCTAACTAAACTAACTTCACTCTCCTGGAGCCTCCCCGAAATGAGGGAAATGGGAGAAATGTAATTCCCACAGTCCCCATTTATTGGATTGTGTTTCCCTCCCAGAGACCATCTGAGCCTCTGGGAGGGAACTCTAGTCAATATCACGTGTCTCCACCCAGCTCTGAAGGGACCATGTCTCAGCCTCCCCATCAACAGCAGGAGGTCTCCTGAAAGCACGTGCCCTGAGGGCAGAGAGATCAGAGTCTGAAACAGGCTCATCTCCAGGGCAAACCCTGGAAACTCTCAAACCCTGGAACCACAGAAGACGAGAGATAAGAGCCTCCTAAAAGAGCACTGTGGCCAATTCCATTTTGCAGATAAGGAAACTGGGGCCAAGAAAGGGACAGTGACTGGCCCAGGTGACTTGCGGGGCAGGGTCTAAGACTGGGACCCTGGTGCCAACTGCTTTCTTGGGGAGCTATCTTCATGCTACTTGCTCAATGGGAAAGACAGACATTCTATCTACCACGGAGCTTGGATGCATAACATTTGCATGTGTAAACATCACAGTGAGGAACCGTGCTGTTGGCCACAGAGCACAGTGATGCCCATTCCCTGGGAATGTGGGTACTTACCGACACCCAGGGGTGACTCAGGATTTGTCCCGCGGTACACCGAGCTTCAACATTTACCTGAAGCATTTGACTGATTAATTCCTACAAACAAATAAACGAGTAAGACCACAGAGAAGGAGATAATTCAATATCACGAAAGAAGATAATTCCAGCATAAATACAGAAATCTGAGTTTGTAGCAAGCACTTCAGAGAAGAGCCAGCACACCTGTTAGCCGATTCAAACTTAAACGTGATTACACCTACTCTCCTAATGCCTTATAAGCAGTGCAAAAGAAGAGACGCTCTCTCCTGAGTCCACATGAAACTAAGATGTTCTCACCTAAGAGTTCTGGTCATTGTTATTATTCCACAGTCTAAAACTGCAGTATTTCTCCTTTTGGCAATTCAGTGTGTTCTGCAGTTCATCCCTGTATCCCAATGGGTACCCAATACATATTTCTCGAGCAAATGAAATAATGGATGTTGAGGGTTTAGAGGAGCACAAGAGGATGGAGGGAAACCGGAAAGACGGCCAGTCCAACTTTAAGAATTTTGCCAAGAACTTCAGAGACCATACCACAGGATGAACTTTAAAGAACAACCACACAATAAAAGCCAAGGAACTTTCTGCAATGCAATACCAAGAGTAGCTACAGCCCTGTGGAATGGGTGAGGACCCCACAACGTAATACAACCCACAGAAACAGGCCTGGAGGGTACCTTGGCAGAGTCCGTGATGTTATCCCAGTAGGGGGCCGGAAACTCCAGCTTCCCAGCCAAGATCTGGTCGAAGAGATCTTCCTGAAGATTGTTCTCGCTAAGCCAGTGACAAAGAAATGGGAGAAAAGTCAAAGTCATTGTAGAGTTTTTCGACAAAATGCCCACGGGAAGAGTGGGGAAAGGAGTCCAGTCTCTGGCTTTGACTTGGGCATTCCACATCTCAATTATGTATCTCAATTCCATTTGTAACGACTGAACTTTTCCTTTTAGACAATGAGCCAAAGAACATTTCCATAGGCTGAGGAATTAAAGAGACAGAGACAATGACTCAAACATTTGCTTAATGAATGCAGAGTTTCAGTTTGGGAAGATGGAAAAGTTCTGAAAAGGGACGCTGGTGATTCTTGCACACAATGTGAATGTATTTAGTGGTACTGAACTGGACACTTAAAAATGGTGAGAATGATTGATTTTGTTATGTATATTTACCAAACACACACACACACTCTCTCTCTCTCTCAAGAAAATATTGGAATCCACAAATAATGGAAACCCTCATTTCAGGAAAAAAAAAATCAGCATCTGCCCTCAAAACTATCATGGCAACAAGAAAGGAAAGGCAAAAAATCTGAGTCCGATCTCCTTTCCCTTCTTCTTTCCACTTTAATAGCCAAAGGTCAGTGGAACAGCCAACATATGAAAAAGTTATAAGGAGTTCAGGATCTGGATAAAACATTCATGAAATAATTAGTTCACTGTTGGAAACTGACTTTAAGCTCAGTCTGAGAGGAAGGGCCAACCCAAGATGCCAGGCAGAATGGCACAGGCTGAGGCAAACCCATGCCAGTGGCTCACAGGGGCATCCCTCCCACCTGCGCCTGACCGTCCCACCCTCGGAGGCGCACTTACACAGTCAGTGCCTGATGAATACAGGCTGACCTGACTTCTCCTGAATGATGTAATGGAAATGTGGAAACACCACTGGGAAAGATGTCCCCAATCTCCCAAATAACTTAACCTCCAGAGCCCCCTCACTTGGTGGGTGCATCGATGGCTAGAGTGAGGAACAGCATCATTAGCTTTCCAGGCCATTACAAGGCCCCATGAAAAAGCTCAGAATGGCCTGTTGGAGTCAACATCAAAATCCAGGAGTGCAAGTTAAGTATTACCCAGCAAGTGTGCAAACATTTCTTGGAATTTCTTCACCCAGCCTTTGGGGTTTTGTTACCAACCCCATCAAAGGGGAACAAGGGCAAGCGTGGTATCCTGAGAAACAGACCATTCAGCACAGTGTCTAGACACAAATTCTAGGGCTGTTGTGAAGACACGGTTCCCTCCTTCCTGTTCTATTAAAAAGAGTAGAGTTGGCTGGGTGTGGTGGCTCATGCCTGTAATCCCAACACTCTGGGAGGCTGAGGTGGGTGGATTACCTGAGGTCAGGAGTTTGAGACCAGCCTGACCAACATGGTGAAACCCTGTCTCTACTAAAAATACAAAAAAAAAAACAAAAATTAGCCGGTCATGGTGGTACACACCTGTAATCCCAGCTACTCCGGAGGCTGGGGCAGGAGAATCCCTTGAACCTAGGAGGCGGAGGCTGCAGTGAGCTGAGATCGCACCACTGCACTCCAGCCTGGGTGACAGAGCAAGACTCTGTCTCAAAAAAAACAAAACAAACAAACAAAAAACAAACAAACAAAAAAGAGTTGAGTTACTGAGCTTTGTAAATATTCATGACATTTAAGAGCAAGCCCAGCTGAACGGACACCCATTGGTCCATGGAGTTTGGTGAAGAGGCACATTGAGGAGCAAAGGTCAGGACAGATAACTGGGCCAGGCAAGAGAAAGAGATTCCCACCACTGTCCCAAAGAGCGATTTCCTGTGAATGCCCACAGGTTTCTTAGTGTCAACATGTTTTCTTTCCTTTTCACTGTTATTTCCCTGCTGAGTGAGCTCAGCTTACTGCTCCTTCAAAGTGAGTACAGAATACATCTAAGATTATTAGATTTAGTGGAAAACTTCAGAAAACCAGAGGGCTCCAACATATGATGTTAGAAAAAGATATTAAAAATGAGCTATTTCCACAATCGTTCTTTTTAGTCATCCTTACCTATTATTCCACTCACCTCTCCCTTATTTTTTTCTAGAATCTCAAATATCTTATATTTTGTTAATCCATATAGCTTTTGTTAATAAATAGCTAAAAAGCTGGAAGTGTGTGCACAGCAGTCATTTATAGCAGCTGGTTCTTGGCAAAATACCCTGAGTCAACAAACAAAACCATAGGGTGTCTCAGCAATGAGAATGAGACCCCGAAGTATCCACTGTGAGTTGCAAGAGCTTTGACAGTTGGGGCCTGCCCTGCACTAGAAAAACAGAAAGTTAATTTATCTTTCTTAGCAGTCATGTAAGAAAAACTGTTCTGATTAAATCCACACTGGATTCGGTATCACACTGATACTCCGCAATGTGGCTGAGATCCTTCAGGGCACTTTTAAATTCTAAAACAATATAGCCTTTGGACCAATGTGCTGTTAAGTCTAAAAATGTCCATTAAGAAAAACTTGAAAAACAACAAGAGAGTTTGTGCACATGCTCTCTTTTCAACGACAAAGCATTAAAATTCAGAAAAGGTAAACCTGAAAATGTTGTAAGCTATTTCCCAAATGATGTTCAAACGTTCCACTTAGAGCATTTTGTGCGTGTTTTAAGAGAAACAAAAACTTCAGTATAGTCATACAAATGATACTTTTTGTCAGTGACCCTAAGAGCAGACTTGCTTAGGCAACAACTAAAATTTTGGGTGCCTCTGAAAAACCAATCTCCTTCTCGGTAATGATGAATCTGATGTTGAAAAAGACTAGAGGGAGATGGTCCAGGCGCAGTGGCTCACACCTATAATCTCAACACTTTGACAGGCTGCGGTGGGAGGACTGCCTGAGGCTAGGAGTTCAAGACTAGCCTGGGCAACACTGCAATGTGGTCTCAGCTACTCAGGAGGCTGAGGGAGGAGGACTGCTTGAGCCAGGAGTTGGAGACTGCAGTGAGCTATGATCATACTACACTCCAGCCTGGTCAACAGAGACCTCGTCTCTTAAAAAATAAATTAAAAAGGTTAAAAAATAAAATTTACAGACTGGGCAACAAAGAAAGACCCTATCTCTACAAAAAAAAAAAAAAGCTGGGCATGATGGTGTGTGCTTGTAGTGCCAGCTACTTGGGAGGCTGAGGTGGGAGGATTCCTTGAGCCTGGAGTAGGCTGTGATCACACCACTGCACTCCAGCCTGGGTGACAGAGCAAGATCCTGCCTATAAAAAAGAAAAGAAAAAAAAAAAAGACTAGAGAAAGAATGAAAGATGCTACAGTCAGAGAAGCTAAAACTGTAAATTCCAAATAACAATTTTAGTTTAAATGCTTTGGGTTAAAGTTGTCTTTTGTATAAAACAAAGAGACTATTTTGAAATATTTGAAAGACTTTTAAGTACAAATGTAGACAATCTATTTTATACCAAATTTATTTACCATATACCATTTCGGTAATTTATGACATACATTTCTGTATTATGGGAGGTTATAAAATCTACCCAGAATGTTGCTGTATGCCATGAAGACACTTCAGTAACACGTTTTTAACATTACAGATTCTCTTTCATCACAATATGATATAAAAGAGGGAAAGCATTGTCTTAACTTTTAAAAGCTACCTGGAGGTCTATGACCTGCTTCTGAAGGCAGCACATAAGGGCAGCAGCCTTCAGAACGTAGCTTTACTGCTTTTGATTAGCCAAACTTATCTCTAGACCTCACAAAAAAGCTGCTCCCCATTCAGTATCAATCCATGATAAATACATCGTGTTCAATTTGAGTCTCACTTTTGTTAAAAAGTAAAAAGCAGTGAAAAGAAAAAACTCTCAGGCTGCACGGGCAACTGGAAACACTAGAGGGAGTTGTGAGCACACAGTCCTCAAACTCATCCCCCAAGACCCTTTCCCAGCTGAGACCCTTTGCCAGCTGATCCCAGCTTGGGTTAGCCAGGGAAGGGAACTCCGCTGTAATTCACCCAGGATCACCTGTCATCAAGATCCATTCCCCTTCTTCACTTGACCAACTCCCGAAACATGACATCACTGAGACCAGCCAAGGCCTGGTGTGACTGTAAAAATGGCCACGAATTATTCCCTTCCCACTATGTACTTAGCTCATTTTCTCCCACATTTACTCTGGGTTTGACTTGATTTGCTTAATGGCACACCCAGTGTGAGGAGAGCAGAGACTGAGGAAGTGGTCGGGGAGTAGAACTTGCCCTGTTTCTGGCTGCTGGGGAATCCTGCATCCACTCTCATGGAAGCCCAGGACAGTGCTTGCATGATGAAAGCACAGGGCCAAGTCATCTCTCTTGTCCCAGTGGACACTGAGCCACCTACCAGGCATGCAAGTGGGGCCATCCTAGACCATCAAGCCCCCACTGAGCCAGCCAGCTCAGAAGATTCATTCAACTGATCCATGCAATTGTTTCATACTCCTAACTTCAGGGGTAGTTTGTTACTCAGCAAAAGCTAACTGAAATGTGCAGTAATTCTACAGTCTGTGTAACCCACCTAGTCAACGACTTTGGTGGAAGACCATGATGTTGACGGCCAGATGAAAATATCTTTCCACCTATAAAAACTCCACTAATACCACAAAGGTCTCACTCAAATGCTACATCTTTCATTAATGCTACATCCTTGTGATATCCCTGAACTAAGCACTCCCTCATGCTCTGCTTATTCTCTTTGATCAGTAAGTCTTGTGAGGTGTGTCTTTATCTATAGCATAAGGCTTTCAAAAGTAGAGACTAATATCTGTCAGTCTTATGTTTACCGCAATGCCAATTAGAAAATTGTTCAACTCAATGGAAAAACTGAGAATGTTAAAAAGATAATCCTTTCAACTTTTCTGTATGTTCGAAAGTTTTCATAATGAAATGGTGGAGGGAAAAGAAGATAAAACCATTTTTCACTTACTGACCCAGAACAACACTATAAACACCATGCCATAGACTCAATGTTCATGTCTCCCCAGAATTCCCATGCTGAAACCTACTCCCCACTGTGATGGTGGTAGGACATGGGACCTTTGGGCAGCCATGCTATTGTTAAGGGTGGAGCTCTCATGAATAGGATTAGTGCCCTTACAAAAGACCCCAGAGATTCCCTTGTCCTTTCCACCGTATGTGGTTAGGGTGATGAGACGGCTCTCTATGAACCAGGAAGTGGGCCCTGAACAGTCACCAAATCTGTAGTACCTTGATCTTGGAATTCTCAACCTCCAGAACTGGAAGGATGAATTTTCTGGTATTTATAAGCCACCCTGTGTACGGTATTTTGTCAGGGCTAGTCAAATAAACTAAGAGAAACCACGACCTCAGGTTTTGTTCACCACTGTATTCCTAGCACTTAAAATCATGCCTGGTATACAGTAGCTACTCATTAGAGAGTTACAAAATGAACAAAGGAAGAGATTAAAGTTAAAAGAGGTCAAGAAAACTCAGAAGAAAACAGAACATGCATGGTTAGATGAACTTCTGCTTCAGAGTAATTCATTTGCTCCAGAGGGGAAGATGAAACTCATCAAAAGAGCTGTGGCTGAAGCCCCTCACTCATCCCCTGCGCAAAGACTGCCGGGCCAAAGAGTGTACTCCGTGCCTGGCTCACACACCCTGACCATTGTCAGGGGCCATCTCTGCTCCCACCAGGTGAAGCAAGTGGTTACCAAGACTCAGTCAGTCTGTGTATTCCCAGGCCTATTTATACCACAAGTGTTTGTAATTCTATTCTTAATTAAATGTCACATGAACTAATAAAATGAATTTTAAGAAGAAACAGATCCTGTTTCTATGAGAACAAAGTTGAATGCTTTAGAAAGATATAAAAATTGCTCTCAATTATAATTGAGTGTGAGAGATCACTACGAAGAACTGGAAGACAACATACCTGGAAGGATTCGGACTGCTTCACAAGGCTCTTTAAATTTTGCTGTCATTTGAAAAAATGGAGAAATTGGACATGGCAGACACCGTATTATGGGTTTATTTTTATGAAAGAATGAACACTGAAAACTCAGAGGACCAACCAAACACAAAGCAAAGGCCTTCACCTCACATCTAAAGTATGCTAATGAGAATACACATTAATAGGCTGTAAATTAAAAAGTGAAAGGTTTTTTATGTAATTTTTAACTGGCATTTTTAGTGACCAAACAGTCCTGACTGCCAGGAGCAAAGTGTCTGCTTCTGGACCCAAGGGAGAGTATTTACAATTCAAATACAGTCGCCCAAAAGACCGCCTACCTTCGGAATGGTGGGAATCCACAGAGAAGTATGTATGTGATCACGCCAGCTGCCCAAATGTCCACCTTCAGGCCATAGCTAGGAAAACAAAGTGGGTGAGGAGGAGAGAAATGATGACTCCCAAGAACCTTCCATGGTACTGGGGTATTGCCTTTAATTGTTGGGAAAAGGATTACTTTGGTGTTATTCATTTCATTTCACACAGAGATGAATGAATCACCCTTTAGAAAAAGGCATCTGTTTCTGCCAACCTAACCACAGTCTTGCTGACTACTACCATATTCTCAAGAGAGGCCTTGGGACACAAGTCCAGGCCAGGGCTCTGACCAGGTAAGCATAAAGTCTGCTTCCTGAGGTCAAAATCATGGTGCAGGTAACAGACTCTCTCTTCTTTCCATTCTCTACCTTCACAGGAGGCACTGTATACACAAGCAGCAGCAGCAACAAAACACCTTTCTCACCAACTGTATACACAAGCAGCAGCCGCAACAAAACAGACCTTTCTCACCAACTGTATACAGAAGCAGCAATAGCAACAAAAACAGACCTTTCTCACCAAAGTTAAAGGACTAACCAGGGCCACCAGAAGTCTTACCCAGTTTCAGCAATGATTTCTGGAGCCACATAAGTGGGTGTGCCACAGACTGTGTATAAAGGGCCTTCTACCACAGTAGCAAGCCCAAAGTCTCCCAGTTTCAAAGACTTGGTTCCATCAGGATATTCACACACCTGAAACAGAAATCAACCAACCATCAGAAGGTTTTTTTTTTTCCTCAACAAGTGCAAGAGGGCTCTTGGAATGAGGCAGAAAGGACACAAATACATTTATTGTTAAACTCCAATGAAATCTCTCCTTGTGATTCTTTTTTTGAAGACAGGGTCTCACTTTGTTGCCCAGGCTGGAGTGCAGTGGCATGACCACAGCTCGCTGCAGCCACAACCTCTGGGCTCAAGTAATCCTTCCCCCACCGAACTCCTGCCAAGTAGCTGGAACTACAGGTACATGCCACCACACCAGGCTCATTTCTTTATTTTTTGTAGAGATGGGGTCTCCTTAGCTGGTCTTGAACTCCTGGGGTCACGAGATCTGCCCACCTCAGCCTCCCAAAGTGCTGGGAATACAGACGTGAGCGACCATGCCCGACCCCTCCTTGTGATTCTAACACCATTGATTTATCTTTGTTGCTTTAAAGCGCTTTTTCTCTTCAGAGATTTTGCACGATTGTGTGAAATCTGGAAAAAATATTTTCCACTTTTGCAGAAAGTTCCTTACCTAGAAGTACAATGAACACACGTGCCTGCTTACACAGTAGTTAGGGTGTAGGCGGGTGTGTACCTGATGGGCATGAGAGAGGCCTCTAATCCTGGAGGTAGAAACTGACCTTTATTTAGCATTTACTGTGTGTGACATACTTGAGAGCCCAAGAAATGGTGTATGAAGAGTCCACCAAAGCACTTGGTGACCTCCACGGGACTAGCATGTTTAATTCAGAAAATAAAACTGGGGGCAGCGATGGGGTCCTTGTTGTCCGGACAGTCAATGACGAAACATAAATATCATATAGGGGAAAACCTTAGAAGTTTAGAAAGAAAATGACCTTTGGGATCAGGCAGCCTGAACTTCCATAACAAGTCCACACACCTGGTTGTGTGACTTCTGAAAGTCACATAAGCTCTCTGAACACATTCCCTCATCTAGGAAGTGCGATAATGGCAGCACCTCCCTTGTGAAGTTGGTGTGAAGGTGAAATGAGACAAAGCTCAGAACAGGGCTCAATAAATGCTCCTTCCTTGTGGGTAATGATAAAGGAGAAAAAATAAAAGTAAAAAAATAAAAAATGTTCTTTCCATTTCCTGGAAGGACTGGCTGATTAGATAATTATCACATTGGAAAAGGTTTAAAAATGCTGGTGGAGATGTGACTGTTTATGCTTAAAGAACCTTTCTAGAAAGCATTTCAGCAATATATAGCAAATTTCTTTATATCAATTATAACCTTTGACCCAAAAGTCTACTTCTCAAAACCTACTCTAGGGGAATACAGATGGACCCACGGATGCTAATCTCAGAATTTGTCTATGACTTTTAAAAACTAAAGGCAACATAAATGGGTAACAGGGCAATGACTAATTATGATACATTACCATAATAAAATATTACATACTTTCTAATAAGCATTTTTCAAATATATTAATCATATGGGAAACACTATTACACAGAGTTAAAAAATGCACAATTATATATAAAATACTCAAAAATGTTAACAAGTTTATCTCTAAGCAGTAGCATGAAGGATTAAATTAATTTTCTTTATACTTTTCAGTGGTTTCTAAAATGTTTACAATGAACATGTGTTGGTTTCATAATAATTTCATATATAAACAAAATTATGGGATAAATATAACTTTAGAAAGTTACATTCTAAGTGGATAGTTTTGGAAGCAAACAAGTGCATATGACAGCATAATTCAGGTTTCACCATGCAGTCCTGAACCTGAGTGTACAGCCTGTTTGTCCCTTGGATGTCCATTTTGAAAACATGGAATTTCAGAGAATAAACTGCTGCAGAGACCTAGTCTATACTCATTGTAATGCCTGTTTCTATTTTTCTATTTTAAGCATATTTAGTTTGCTTTGTCTCATATTTTGCTGAACCAGATATTTATCTCAACTACTATTAGCTGTAGAAGGAGAAAAATTTAGAAAATGATGTTTTTTCAAGATAAGCATGTTAGCAACATCATCCATTAGTCTGCTACTTAATGAGGGGGAGTGATTTAAATAGTCATCAGTAAAAAGCATGGAAAACCACAAGGCTCCCCCAGGCCAGTAATTCCCCAAGTTTTAAAGGCATTTTAAAGAGGACAGCAGTGAAATACCTCCCTTACCTGTGATGTCCTTATCCATTTAATAAGAACATGTTTCAACTTTACTATCTGAATAACGTTTTCCAGTCTTATATACTGAATACACATCCCTAACATATATCTTTGACTTTAAAGTTCACAGGAGTAATGATGAAGATTTTGAGTTCCTCATAGATATTTACAACTCTGAGTCAGCCCACAAGTCAGCAGAAACATTTCCAAAGATATGAATGATTCAGCCTAAAGTAATGGATTCCAGATTCTTAGTCACGTCACCGTCTTAGGAAAACTTTCCACCCATTATGTTTAATGTAAACATTAGCAAGAACAATCTGATATAATTATAGTTAGAATTTATAATGCTTTTACCAAAACCCAGACTTTGGAAAGAAATTTCCTAAGTAATTACAGTGATAAGAATGTTATAAGCACAATTTCCTAACTGTCTGTATCATGAGAGTTAAAACAAAAAGTTTTATAAATATCACTGTTACTTTGTTTTTACAACTTAAAAACATACTCTTTAGGTACAATTTTTGAAAAATAGTGTTTATTTTAAAGACTCCATTTAGTGATGCCTAGGGATATTCAAAGGTTGCTGACAGATACTCAGAAGTCCCAGAACTCCTGTTTTTCACATCCTCTATAAAGAATTCAGAGTCAGACGCAGGAGCATAAATAGAAAGGGACTGAACAGTCTATAACTGCTGAATTATGTCTGTGCAAGTGATATTCCTTGGCTAAACATCAAAAAGGAAGTGTCATTAAGGGCAGACAAGCCTGAAATCATATTCTATCTGATTCATCTCTCTTCAATGCTAGACACAGAAGCAAATATGTCTTAATATGAATACATTTCAGATCTTAGTGGGAGATTGTCTTCAAAGCAGGAAGAAATTATACATATATATCTCTCTAGATAGATACAGAGACATATACAGCATTGCTTTAAAAACAGTTGCCTTTAATAAAGAGGTGACTAGATGAACAGGGACTCCAAAGGCTCTCTGGCAGAGTTCAGGTCTCCCCAGAAACTGACATTCTCGAGGACTTTGGAGATTTCAGAATTCTTCCAAACATTATGTCACTGGTCTTCTTGAGCCACCCCACTGGGCAATTAGGAAGAGAACTGTTACCTCCATTTTACGAATGAGGAGACTGAGGCGCACAGCACTCAGGTTACTAGTCATATGGCCAGGCAGGGGCTCCAGCCAGGACCATTATTCGTTCCACAGCACCATTCTGCAAGATTCGGTATCTGAAAAATAACTGGATAGGCCTGCCAGAATCCTGACTATAGCCTGCACTTCCTTACAGATTTTGAGTGAATTTAAACAATAACAACGGTGAGAACTCCAGCCCTGCAGTGTTCAAACGCCCCACCACAAGCTGTGAGATGCTTCTGTCAAAAGTTGCTCTCAGAATGCAAAAATAAAAAATGCGAGGAATGCAGATCCCACATACAAAATGAACACTGCATGTTCTCTAAATAAAATGTCAACTTCATGATTTAGAAGGACTCCAAATATGAGAAACCAACCCTCTTCTCTTCTCTCCCCTATCCCCAGAACTCCTGGACAACCTGAATTTATCACTGGTCTCTCATAGTTAACTCTGACACGGCACCACCAGGCTGTAACTCACAGCATTAACGGCCACCCCTGTGCTCCCTGACACAGCTACCAATACATCTCCACTGGCGGGGTTTTAAATTATGATGCTGCTTACTGGCGAGGGGGATGCAAATCAGATGTCTGAATGCTCTGGTGTTTAAAAACTGAATTAGTTCTTACAGCAAGAGGAGGCCGACAGTCACTCTGGGTATTTACTTTTAGTATCTCAGTGGCACCCTCTCCTCCCAGGCCAATACCAACCTGCTGACTAAATCTAGAAACTGCTGAGTGATCTAGTTAGGTTTTCGATGGCAAACACATTTTACTGAGATATATGAGGCTAAGGTTGTTTCTGAAGGCTCGACAGAGCCTTTCCACATCACACATTCGCCTCTTCCAGAGGTCAGTTTTATCCTCTTCTTCCTTCTCCTCCCTTTCTAGGCTAACACAAGGGGGCTGCTGTAGGTTTGGGAAGGGGTGGACGCTCATCTAGGCCAGGTGAGACTCAATGAGGAGTGTGACTCTGATTTCCTGATTGCATTCCAAGACTCATGATGTTGGAGACATCAATCCCCATTACATTATTCACTCTTTTAAATTTTTAAAATTTTAGCCAATTCTCCTGAGGAAGTGAAAAACCTTATCCACCCTTGATGTGTGACAAGAAAAAAGGAGGCGGTGTCAGATTCTCTACATATATTAAGAAACTCTGAGTGGAAAAGAGAAGAAACAGGAGGTGAGAGTGAGATCTGTGAGCTGGGAAATGGACACTCCCTGATTTACAGGGAAGTTCACAAGCACCTCAGTCACCTTTGCTGGGCCTTAAATCAGGGCTGCTGGACAGACTGGCTCCAGGGGTTCCTTGGGAACCTGTGGCTCCCATATTTTCAGAGAATGCAGTAACTGGAGCCAGTGGGGCAAGGCAGGTTGTGGAGAACAGGAAGCAGTCAAGGGGGTAACCTTATGAATGCCCCAGTGTTTGTGTCTGGGCACACCTGGAGAAGCCCCGTGCCTTTGTTTGCGAAGCCCGGGCCAAACTCAGTTCAACGGTGGAGGAGTCTGGCATACTGCAAGGTCCCAGCGGGCAAGAAGCCTGTTTTGAGGAGAGAACGCTATATCCTTACTTTGCTCCTGAGGCTCAGTTTACAGCTCTGTCTCCTCCATTCCTTGTTAGAGTTCATAAAACCAAGTCCATAATCCCCCCTGCCCCTTTTATTTTTTAACACAGAGCAGGGATATTTCTTTTCCTAATAAGAACATATAGAAATGAAATATAATTCCCTCAAGGCAGAAGACAGTAAGATAAAATTTCACATACTTTTAAACGGACACTCAGAAATCATCAAATGATATTACCAAAAAGAAAAGACACAGACTCTGGATTAGATTAGCCAAAAAATAAAAAGTCCCCAGAATGGCTTCAGAAGCTGTGCATCAATGCATACTCCTTTCAACAGTTATTTGTGTGGTGCTCACAGTAGGCTGTAGAGCCTCATGCTCTAGCACCAGCTGCTAGCTGAGTGTCAGTGGTCAGCGAGCAAACACTCTGCTGTCCATTATGTGTTTACGTGGCACTGTCCAAGCCATTGGAGATATAAAGATAATTGAGACACAAACCTTGCCTCCATGGTACTTACAATCCCAAAGAGGCAGACAAGTATATGATAAAGATCACAACACCATAGCAAGTGCAGCAGAAACCCGAGGTGGCTGTAACTGAACTCTGTCTAGAAAGTCTAGGGTGACATTAAAGAAGACTTAACTTTTGCTCAATGTATTACAAGATGAATGGTTTACCACCTGCTGGAAGAGAGGACGTTGCAAATGAGGACCGGTATGGACAGAAGCAATGAAGGGGTAAGGCTGTTGGTAAGTCAAGTCCTAATTAAAAACTGAGGATGGAGGAACCTGTGTTTGGATTAACTCAGATAAGCTTGCCTCCCAAGCAAGAATGAGGATGAGAGCCCTGAAAGGCGGAAATAAAGAAGCCAACTATGTCATGTGTGTTTGTGGGGGGCTGGGAGGAGTGTAAATGTCATATCATCCAACCAGTTTCTCAAAAATTCTTCTATAACGTGGTCACGAGGATTGGCTCCCAACTAGCAATCTGTGTCTAGTTATCAAGAGTCATCATGAAGGTGAGTTAAATATGGCTTGAAGCTTAGGCCATGTTGGGTTGGATGGATAAGAGTTATTAGCAGGACAGGAGGCTGAAAAGGCAACTTGAGATCAGACTATGAAGAACTCTGGATACCATAGTAGAATAAGACTTTTTATTCTGTAGAATAATAGGATAAAAGAGACTTCTAAGAAAAAAAAAAAAAATTGGCATCTCTTGGTCTCAGTTTCCATGGCTGTAAAGTGGAGATGAATGGACTAGACTATTTCCAAATTTCTTCCCTGCAAATAAATTAACGCCCATATTCTACTCGTGTCTCCTATGAGCCTCTAATTCTGTCTCCAATTTATTCTTCACAATTTTCTGCCCTATAAAATAATTTTCCTGCTCACCTTCAAGTCAGTACCATCAATTAAAATATAAATGAAAATATATTTTCTTCTATCTGGTGACATGCTTTGGCTCTGTGTCCCCATCCAAATCTCATGTTGAATTGTAATTCCCAATGTGGCGGGAGGCACCTCGTGGGAGGTGACTTGATTATGGAAGCGGATGTCCCCTATGCTGTTCTTGTGGTGGTGAGTTCTTATGATACGATGGTTTAAAAATGTGTAGCACTTTCCTCCTCGCTTTCTCTCCTGCCACCATGTGAAGAAGGTGCTTGCTTCCCCTTTACCTTCCGCCATGATTGTAAGTCTCCTGAGGCCTCCCAGTCATACTTCCTGTTAAGCCTGTGGAACTGTGAGTCAATCAAACCTCTTCTTCCTAAATTAATCAGTCTCAGGTAGTTCTTTATAGCAGAGTGAGAATGAAATGATACATCTGGTAAATAGTAAATGCAGAAAAATTCAATAACTCCATTAGTATTTGATGGTCATTGACACGAGTCTTGCTAATTTTCTAAATTTAAAGTCTCATAATGCAGGATTGTTATAGACTGTAAAATGCCATTATTTGCATATGCTCCATTTAAAGGAAGAGAGGCATTCATTGGAACAGAAAAAGCAGGGATGACATACCAAGAGATTCTCTGGTTTGATGTCTCTGTGCACGATGCTGAGGCCATGGAGATACCTGAGGGCATTGGCTAAGTTGTACACCATGGCGCTGCCATCTCTCTCAGTGTACTTGGTCGACGAAGTAATTGCATCAAAGAGATCTCCACCCTAAAGGATACATAAAATAACATATCAAAACATCAACAGTGCAATCCTATGAAGGTAAGAAAGATGGCTCATTGGCACAAAGCAGAAAATGACACAAGTGCCACTAAAACTGGTGATTATAAATAATGAAAGTTACGAGGCAGCAATATACTTTTCTAATTAGGTCCTTCAAGGATATTGTAAATTGTAGGACTAGGCACCAAGAAAATCTCTCTATCCTCTTACTTTGACCAATTCCATCACCAGAAAGAGCTCAGTTGCTGTTTCCATCTCCTCGACCAGCATAATGATATTGGGATGTTTCACTCGGCGCAGTATTGACACTTCATTCTCAATCAGGTGTTCCTGTCAAATGAACAGTATAGAGAGGAGATGAGAAATCACAGAACCCTCTGCTCTTTCTCTAAGGCCTAGAGGACAGCAAAACAAACACAGCCTGTGGATTTGATGCCAGAGAAAGCACTGCTCTTGGCACAAAGACAAGTAAACCTGACCTTGACCTAATTGTTCCGATAGGGACAGGGTCAGTGTGAACATATTATTGACATTACCAAAAAGATACAGACTCCTAAACATCCCCCAAAAGGCTCCATGGTGCTTCTGTGGCATATTAAGCATACTGCCTTCTCGCTCTTCATTATTTCTAACACCTTAAGAGGTTGTGATGCTCTTAATGAAAAGCATCACAAAAAAGCTATGAAAGCTTCAGCATACAGCTCTGTGCTTTGTAATTCCGCCAGAATCGCTTTTTGATTCCAGTATACACTCACAAATAAAGACTAGGCATATAAGAAAACTTGGCATGCTTATAGCGTATAACTTCTGGCATTAAGCATTTTTAGTTTTTAAACTGTTACTAACATGAATTTGAATTTCATGCTGAAATTCATGAAAAAAAGGAACTTTCTTCCTCTATGACTGGATATGAAATCATTCACCAGATGGATGTTCCTTAACATCTTGTATTTCGGAAATCTGAAAACATACAGTACCACGGGGACCACTATTCTCATTTTAGCTCTATTCACTTCTCCTCTGAAAACACTGCCTGATTATCAATCCTGGTGAGTAATGCAGTTGGGATCAGCACTGTAGCAAAATGTTTACTTACAGAATTAACGAATTATTCTTAATATGTCAACCCATGAATCATGAACAATGATTGCTGTGTTTTAAATGAGACATTAAAACCTCTCAACATGTGTACACATGTATTTTTATACATGGATGCATGAAGTTAAGAGCCACCTCATCCTTTTGGACCATAGCTGGAAATAAAAATTATAACAAATGAATAAACAACATGTGGAGAAAAATCTGTTTCAAGCTCCTGCACATGGTAGGTTGTGTTTCTTGAGCACTGAATGCACTGTGCCTGTCCAAGCAGTCACTCAATAAATGTTGGCAAGTGACAGTGCAAATTTACTAAACAGAAGTATGGGAAAGAAAGAAACCAACATTTACTAGGAATCTAGTCACTGTTTGTTAGTAGCTGTGTAAGGTACTTGTGTTATGTTTGAACACTTTATCCTTGGAAACAGTTACTGGAGGTTGAATGTAAACTAGGTTTCTGACATCCAAGCCCATCTTTCTTATACACACATTATCACCTTCCAAAGGGGAAGAATTCAGTAAATGCCAAGATGGAATTCTTCAAAATAAAAATTACAGCTGTAAGTGAAAATACTTAATACTTTGAAAAGATAAGAGCATACAGTAGCACCACACTGACCTGGGAGTGAAGAATCATACCAGGGTTTGTGCAAGGAGGAGAATCTATGCTTCTTTTAATGAACAGAGCTAAGAAGTCTTTGACTGGCTCAGGACTCAACAAACGCTTCCAAATCTGAAGAATGGTGTTTCTTAGACCCCAGTAAACCACAGCTGGGAAGCCAAGGACAGGGTCTCCTATCTATCTCCAACCCCACCTGTCTAAGTTACAGAGCAGCAGACAGAGCCCCGGTTCCTCCCTTGGGAAGCAGCTGTACAGCTAGACCCCTCGTGGTCGCAAAGACAAAGAAAAGACTCGGCAAACCCTCTCCACTGATTCACATATTTGAAGCTTTTGGGTCATCTGCAGCAAGCATATCCTCAATCACACTAAAAAGCAGGGTTAGATACACTTTTGTGAACATCTACAAGTAAGCACATGAATTTATTCCACTCCATGTGAAGCAAAGACAACAGTTGCTACTGTCATTAAATAGGCTTTTTATTTTAAAGCTACACAAATCTATCACTTCAATTCTCCTCCCTGCTCCTCATTTTATCCAAAGTTAGAAGAGTCTGTATATTCGCCTCTCCTTGGAGGCTGTGTTTGTGTTGCTAATTTAGTGATATCTGTAAGATAATCCCCTCACCAGTACCCCAATAATCTCTCTCAAGACTACAACTCCTCAAAGTTATTATCTTTTTCAATAAAAGGCACAACAGAAGGTCTTCTGGGATACATTGTGGAACTTCTCCTAAGGGCCACCAGCAGTGTTACCTTTCAAATATCGCAGCAACATTTCCTCCACCATCACTCATTAGCCTACTGAATTCTACTTGACAATGGCTAGTATTCTAAGCACAGAGTGAATGTTTTTGTTAAAACATGGGTGCTGTTAGCCTTCCTCAACCTCTTACTGTCCCTGTAAAATTGTCTATGAAGGAACAATCCACTTTTGAAACTAACCATCATCAGAAGCAAAATAAAAGTACTGCATAAAAATCCTTACAGACATTATCTATTCCTTGTGCAACCTATATGTAGTCTTTGTTTCTAATATGTAAAAAAATGCTCTAAATTTTCCAAAAGAATATTTCTAAATATAATACGAATATCACTTTTGTCTTGAGCCATATTGAACTTACATTATTCAATCATCATCTACCATTATTTATGTTAAGTGATTCATGATTCTAACTCCAAATAATTTACATATGAATCATCTCATGGCAGTGTTCCACAGTTCCGTATGAGAGTAAATGACGAAACTGCTAACTTGGCAAAGGACACTGCCTTATCTTTGGACATGGTGATTTTTAACATACAAAGAGAGAGGGATGGGGGGGGTATAATGGGAGACAAAGCAACTCTCTCAAACCAGACTAATCATCTTGTCTCAACCCACTCCAGCCTACAAAGCAGTCCTTTCCTCTGTGTTCTCCATCTCATTGAACGAAACTGCTGTCCCAAGCAGAAACAGGAAATGCACCCTGATTCCTTATTTCCTCCTCCTCCTTGTGGGTGGATAATATACCCACAGTCACCAATATCTGCCCAGTTACCTCCTTGGTGGCCTCTGAATCCATCCATTCATCCATTCAGTTCTCTCTGTTCCTCTTGCTTATCCCTTACCTCGACTTCTAGGCATTTACACAGGTAGCTTTCTTTTATTTGAGACAGAGTCTCATTCTGTCGCCCAAGCTGGAATGCAGTGGTGTGATCCCAACTCACTGCAACCTCAACCTCCCAAGCTCAAGCAATCCTCCCGCCTCAGCCTCCTGAGTAGCTGGGACCACAGGTGTGCACCCAGTTAATTATTTTTTGTAGAAATGGGGTCTCGCTATGTTGCCAGGGCTGGTCTCGAGCTCCTGGGCTCAAGGAATCCTCCCACCTCAGCCTCCCAAAGTGCTGGGATTATAGGCATGAGCCACCATTCCGGTCATAGTTTTATCTGGAACTTTCTTCATCTACTTCTTGGCAAACTCCTATGTACTTCTCAGGACCAGATCAGATGGCCCCTCCTCTAAGTCACCTCCCCTGCTCACTCACAGCTGGGTCAGGTAGTCCTGTTCTCACAGTCCCGTATCACATCTTTCAACTGTTTGTATGCTGGTCTCTCACCCTCTGGAACTGAGAGCTTGTGGAGGTTTTGGTTACCTCACTCTCCAGCAACTAGCACAGTAAACAAACAGTAGGTACCAAAGTGTTCATGTGAAGGAGTAGACACATCACGCACTGCACTGCCCACATGGCTTCACAGCTGGCATCTGTGTTGCTCAGAGCACACTGCTGAGGAAAAAGTGGTGAGACAGAGAAAATGTACAAATCACCACATGGGATTTGTGGTAAACATACGTAACAGACTGAATGATGGATACCCAAAGACATCAAGTCCTAATTGCTGCAACTTGGAAATATTACCTTACTTGGGAAAAGGGTTCTGCAGATGTGATGAAGGGTTCTGCGGTGGAGAGATAACTCTGGATTGTCAGAGGAAGAAGGGTAAATGCCACCACAGATGTTCTTAGAGAAGCACAGGGAAGTTTCACACAGACATAGGAGAAGGCAGCGTGAAGATGAGGGAGAGACTGGTGGGATGTGACCACAACCCAAGAATACTGCTAGTCACGGGATGCTCAGAGGCAAGGAACAGATTCTCCCCAAAACCCCCAAAGGAAGCAGGGATTTCTTACTTTCAGCCTCCTGAACTGTGAGAAAACAATTTTTGGTTGTTTTAAGCCACCAAGTTTGTGGTAATTTATTCCCACAGCCTGGGGAAACGAATACTTCCAAATATACTTCTGGATTTATGTCCTGCCCGGGCCCATGCAGATGATGGATGCAAAACTGTATACAGCAGGAAGACAAAGAAGGACCACTTCTAAGCACCAGAACAGAAAGCTCAGGGCTTTGTACACTGTGAGAATTCAATAAATATTTATTCAGCATGAAAGAGAATATTAGAACTGGAAGAATTCTTAAATCTATAAATACCCTAGCCTTCTCCAAAGCCTCTATAAATCTGGCCCCAACACAGCTCTGGTCATAATCTCCTACTGAGAAGGGCCCAACATGCTTTCTGTCCTCTGGGCCTTTGCTCAGACTGTTCTGATCACCCGGTAGGCCGCTCTTTGATTGCTGCCTACTGAAACCCTCCCTTCCCTCTGTTCCTGCTCCAGCCCAAATGCTTCTTCCTCTGTAGCGTCTTCACTGGTCACCTACTTCTCTCCCATGTGCTTCCCCTGAACTCCAACATTCTTTGCAGAACTGGTATTAATATATATATTACCCTATTCTTAGCACAGTGTCTTGCAGACAGAATATGCACCAAAATTTAGGTGAATACATTAATCTAACAATGCAAGTGCATATTAAGAACGAACAAACAGAAGGCAAGAGAAAGTCAAAATGTTTCCCAAGTTCATATTACCTGAAGAAATGAATACATTGAACTCAGAGAGAGAACACAGATCAGCCAATGTACAGGCTGTGTAACCAAACAGCCCAAAATTCCACTCACAGCTCTGTCTCTGTGTGGCCTTTTGAAAGCTATTTAATCTGAGTCTGTTTCCTTATCTGTAACACTGGTGCATCTGTTTTTCAAGTCATTAAAGGTAATGTGCAAAGTTCCTATATATCCAAGCGTGGATAAATAATACATTTTAACAAAGAGCAGATATTATTTTCAGCATTATTAATTTTCTGTATACAGCAGGTGGCCAATACCCCAAAATAGTGAGTGAATACTACCCCCTCAAATTAACAAAAATTCTCTATATAATTTTTTTCTAAAAATAAAATATAATAGGAAAAATCAACTTATTTGTAACTAATCGAGTTTTAAAATTATAATTTTATACAGTCTTAATGTGGAAATAGTTGTTTAGATAAGCAAAATGTAAAACTGGAAAAAGTATTTGATCATGCATTATAAAAATAGAATGACATTCAGAGACTAGAAAAAATAAGATCCAAATGTTAGAACTCACTTATCCATTTGCCTCAGCACTTAGTGTACCAGACTAAATTTTCTGCATACAAACACCTTTTTTTTTTTTTTCCCAACCATGGAAACAGCTGTTTAAATTTTAATCAGGTAACCCATGTCCTTACCATAGCACTTTTTTTTTTAACTGTTTTGAAAAAAATTTTAATATCATTCTATAGAACCTGGCTCACCAAACTATGATACATTCTGCTTAAATTGCACGCCACCACATGGAAAGCAGAACACTTACACATATGGAGAAAAGGCTATTACAGTGAAAAATAATAGTTATATTGCTAGAAGAATAAGTAAAAGCCCATCGAATTATTTAAAGAAAATTAAGGGAAAGAAAACCTCACTTATTCAAAGGAAAAGGGGCATTTTGCACAGTCTATGCTTCAGTAATTATCACAGTGTAGTAAAAAAAAAAAAAAAAAAGGGGAAATGACAAATTTGCCTCCTGGATTTTCCATTCTGGAGTTCTGAGAAGATTTTTCTAAAACATTTGAGCAGAATATTTTACATTTCCTGGTAAAAAAAAAAAAAAAAACTATTTTGTAGAAGTCCAATGAAGACTTGTTTAGGAGTTCCATAACTATAAAATGACAACTATCAGATCAAATCCTGCTAATTATAAATTCTAAATGCCTCTGGCATATTAATAATGTTAGCAGTTAATATGTGTTGAATTCTTATTATATACTAGCACTTCTCTGTTTTCCATGGCTTAATTCAACCAATTTTCACAATAATCTTATGTTCTAGGTGTTGATAATAACCACATTTTAAAGGAAGAAATAGAGGGGTTAAATAAATTTTCCAAGAAGAGGCAGAGCCAGGAATACACTTTACAGAATCTGGCTTTAGAGCACAGTGTCCAGCATAAATATACACCATGATCCATATACATAACTCTAACCAAGAACCACATTAAAAAGCAAGATTTTTAAAATTATAACTTAATGTATCTAAATATTTTCATTTCAACATGTGATCATATACAAAGATACTAATGAGGTATTTCACATTCTTTTTTTAGTACTAAGTCTTCAAAATCTGGTGTGTATTTTACACTTAGCAGCCTATCTCAATCCAGACTGGCTACAATGAAGTGTGTTACAGCTGCATACGACTGGTAGCTCTGGTGTTGAATGATGGAGCTCTACGGCTTGTTCTCTTGATATGCTACCACAATGGCATCTAAAAAGGTCTTTGTCATCGCTGCTATAGAATATTTATTTTTTCAAACACAGTTAAAGTATCAGTAACTGTAGCAGCATTTTATTGATCTTTTCCCAACCCCAGATAGACAGTGGGACAGAAAAAAAAAGTTTATCTTATTGAGGAGAGGATTCTTCACAGCATCTCTGCTCATCATGCATCAGCTTCTATTCCAAATACCTTTCCAAGGATGTTTGTCCAGCAAACACCCCTGGAACACAGAGATGAGTCTCTCTTACAGGCAAATGGCAGATTTGTTTCCTGACCAGGATAATGAAAATAATATTCTCCTCTGAGGCAAAGATTGGGCAGGATTGCTAGCATCTCCTCCTAAGATTGAGAGTTTCCTAAGCTCAGAGTTTCCCAGCTATGACATAAACGCACTGTGTGTAAATCATCCAACTGGGCCCCTCTGCCTCACTGCCATGGGACTTGGGAGTTAAGGGGAACCAATGCAAGCATGAAGCTCATGCTACCTGCTGTGCCACGAGTAACAAATTCCTTTGTCTCTGACTCAGAAATCTTGTGTTCTGCTGGCCTATATGAAGCTGGAAGGCTTTGTTAGCTTGCCAGTAAAGTCCCAGGTCCCTCACAGTTCCTGACACACCTTTTCAGTGTTGTTGGATATTAAAATAGGTATCTCCCAGAGGAAAGAATCTATGTTTTCTAGTTAGGAACAAGCTCAAATCAATTTCCTGTTTTAGGATTAAAGTTTCTGAAAAACAGCAGGAATAAAACAGCTTGACTGTTTTTCCCACTATTACTGGGGTCTACTCCTGCTGTGAGAGTCAAGTTCCCACTTAAATTCCTTCATCACAGTAAACACCTTACCAAGTTACTCCAGTTTCTTTTACAAAGGAGTTATGCATACTATACCTTTCCACAACATTTGGCTTTGTCTATAATCTTTAGGGCAAACTCCTTTCCAGTGGACCTATGGAATAATCAGAAGAAGACCATTTAAAGACATAAATCAGATACCATCATTCCTGTTTTCTTTCTTTTTTATACTTTAAATTTGTTTTGTTTGTTTTTTGTAGAGACGAGGTCTCATTATGTTGCGTAGGTTGTTCGTGAACTCCTGGGTTCAACTGATCCTCCCGTCTCAGCTTCCCAAAGTGCTGAGATTACAGGCGTTGAGTCACCACACCTGGCCCATTCCTGTTTTCTTCTATAGCACAAACCCAGGAAGGAAAACCTTGGCTCTTCCTCTGTGCATTAAAGAAAATATCTAGTGGAGTCAGGGAACAAAGGTACTCCCAAAATTAAAAACAAAAACAAAGCCAAACTATATGTTAATTAAATATTCTTTCATGAATATTAACTATAATATTAAGTAACTCATATTTAAAGTATTTCAATTCTGTTACATAAGGGAGAGGCAAGAAATATTTTTCTATATGTAAATCTCAAAATAGTTCTCTTAGGAGACAGAGTAAAGTTTTAAAAAGTGAAATTAATGAAAAATTTTATTATCAATATATTTTTATATTAGTCCATTAATGACATTAGTCTATAATTCAAAAGTGAAAAGTCCCCTGACTTTCATTATTTCTCAGCCAAAACTTCAGCTAGGATCTGATCTGGTACCATGTTAGTCACACCTTTAAATGCTCTTTCCTGGTACTAGAAAGATCATTCACATGGGTAAAAGAATCTTGATGTTATTATTTATTTATTTATTTATTTGAGACACAGTCTCACTCTGTCAGCCAGGCTGGAGTGCAATGGTGCAATCTCAGCTCACTGCATCCTCCACCTCCCAGGTTCAAGCGATTCTCCCTGCCTCAGCCTCCAGAGTAGCTGGGATTACAGGCACCTGCCACCACCACTGGGCTAATTTTTGTATTTTTAGTAGAGATAGGTTTCACCATGTTGGCCGGGCTGGTCTTGAACTCCTGACCTCAGGTGATTCGTTCGCCTCGGCCTCCCAAAGTGCTGGGATTACAGGCATGAGCCACTGGGTCCAGCCATTATTTAATTTTTAATCACTTTTAAAATAATTTAATTTGAACATGCCAAAAATGTCTTTTAGTATAGAAAAACCATTCAATAAAGAGCACCACGGTACGCGTAGAGTACACTCATTCTCTCAAGCACAGCTGGATTTGCCAGGTGGTCATAGTACACACTGATGAGGCCTGGCTTGGAAGAGTCACTTGTCCTTAAACTGTTCTCCCTATAACAAAAACTAAATCCTGCCTCAGATTTCTGACCAGTCTTTAAAAGTCATACTTCAGATGTTTTACTTTGTTACTTAGGTGGCAGTCTGTGTATTAGAGCTAGGTAAAAGCACTCAGAGAACAAGGCATTACCTTGTGTACCAATGTAAGGAGCACTAAAGCTTCACTGGAGATGTAACAAAATGGAAACACTGTAGTTACCAAACTTTCTGGAAAAATCTCCAGAAATAATACAAATTATCACTTAGAATGGGAAGGACAGCAGCCTATAAACACCAAGACTCTAATCTGAACCAAGACTCTAATCTGACTCTTTTCTGGTTTGGAAATTGTTTATAAAAAATCTGGAATAGGCAAAACTAGGCTGATTGTGATTTTTTTTTTTTTTTTTTTGAGACAGAGTCTTGGTCTGTTACCCAGGCTGAAGTGCAATGGCACGATCTCGGCTCACTGCAACCTCCGCCTCCCAGCTTCAAGTGATTCTTGTGCCTCAGCCTCCCCAAGTAGCTGGGACTTCAGGCATGTGCCACCCAATCTGGGTTTTTTGTTTGTTTGTTTGTTTGTTTGTTTTTTGTAGAGATGGGGTTTCAACATGGTGGCCAGGCTGGTCTTGAACTCCTGGCCTCATGTAATCCACACACCTCAGCCTCCTAAAGTGCTGGGATTACAGGTGTGAGCCAGCCCACCAGGCCTGGCCTGATTGTGATCTTAAACAGAGTCAGAGCTCATATATCCTAAACCACTGGAATATTCCATCAAGTATTAACTGAGAGGGAGGATTACTGTGGGAATAAAGCGATTGAATACAAGTACAGACTGATAACAATGCTTGACACAGGTAAATATAGGAGATGTTCTTAAAAACAACTTATTCTTGTCATTCCTCTCTGGCTCATGATGAGACCCTTATATATATCTCAGCCCAAATGTACATAAAACAGTTTTATACTCCATGTATATACATACTATATTCTTCCTGTAGGCATGCAAAATGGCCGATCCTGGCTGGGCACAGTCACTCACGCCTATAGGCCATAGGCCAAGACAGGAGGATTGTTTGAAGCAAGGAGCCTAGGACCAGCCTGGCAACAAAGCAAGACCCTGTCTCTATTAAATATTTAAAAATTAGCAGGAGGCTGAGGTGGGAGAATCATGGCACCCTGGAGATTGAGGCTGCAGTGAGCTATGATGGTGCCACTGAACTCTAGCCTGGGTGACAGAGTGAGACCCTTCCTTTTTTTTTTTTTTCCAAAAAAAAAAAAGGAAAGAAATGGCTGGTCCCAAGGGCAGACTCAGGGAAAAGGAAAGAGAGACTTTCCAGAAGGGCCTTTTTAAAATTAAGAATAAACTCCAAGGAAAACTGTATCCACAGATGAACAAAGAATTATCCTCACTGTCCACTCACCTGTCTATACACTCTTTGACTACTGCAAAATTGCCATCACCAATGACCTTTCCAATTTTGTATTTCTCAAGGAGAGTTGATGACTCAGAGCATCTATTTCCATTCACACCTGCAAAAAGGATAAAGGCAAATTCTAAAGAAAACATCAGCATTTTATACTGATTCCTACATATTTGTAAAATAGTAAACTGTGATGCATTTATTTCTAAATCTATGGTGAAACTAAATAAAATATCTGGGCACATTTCCTAAACAGAACACCCGAATCATCAATTTCCTTTTGACTTTGTTGGTTGAAATCAGAAACCTACAATCAATAAACCTAACAAAACCCTGAAACATCAGGTGAAATAAGTGATGAGCCTTAGGTAAAAAGGGTATTTCACTAAAACTTATCCAACCTTTTTTGTCGATGTTCAAGAAAGGGGCAGGGGACACAAGATGACAGAAAAAGAAAAAAATAATAAAGAAAGGAGAAGAGGATGGTGGTGAGAATTTAATCTTCAAAGTGTTCAAGATTTCTCTTCAAGATTTTCTAGTAGAGAAAACTCTTAAGAGCCCAGATAAGATAGATGTCTTGTTAAGGCTAATTCCTGGCTCAAAGCTTTCTCAAAAAGTTATGTCAGGGGGAGGGTTAAGATCGGCCCACTTCCCACTACATGTCCCAGTGCCCAGCACACAGAGGACACCAAATCAAGAAAACATAGTTTTGTTATCTAATTGAGAGAAAGGAAATATATTTAGAAGTTGTGAGCAGATCACCACAAAAATAAAAGAAGCCCAAGTCTAAAATTTGAAGCTTCAATAGCCTAGTCAACGACAATGAGATTTTTCTTTATCTTGAAGTGACCCCCATCCCCACCTCTTACTAAGGCCAAAGGGGCTGATAGGTGATGTGATCACGTCCCTCTTTAGGAAGATTGTAATTTAGCACAAGTGAGTTTTAGGTGAGCACCAAGTTCACGTGCATAATATCCTTTACCAAAGTAATGATCAGATTGAGAACTACCTTCTGGGCTCATGCAACGGTCAAGTTCAGGTCCACCGTTTACACTGGAAGAAGATCTGCCGTGAGCAGAAACCTGCTGAAAGAGGAGAATGACCATTATTTATCAGGATAATTCACAAATCTTTAGCTAACTAATCTGTTGACACAGAAAATGCTTACAGAATGTAAAAACATGTCACAGAAACCAAGGAGGCGTTCCCTTTCTTCTCATCTCACCTCTCTCCTTATCTACATCACACTAATGCATTTCTTCCTTAGATAGTTCATTCAGATTAGACACAAGAAAAATCATCATTGTTGCCTTTTTTTGAAATTATGTTATTTTTTACTCATAAAAGGAATTAAAAGACTGTATGGCATCACAGCTGGATAAGATAGTTATTAGTGGCACAATAAGGCTTAGAACTATAGAGAATTCTAATGGTTCCAGGTTAAACACGTGACTCCTAGGAGTTTAATCATTTTATTTCCTCATGATAAATGATAACTGATGGACAACTGCAATTATTCAAAATTTAACTTTTTTGTTGTTGTTTAATTTTTAGCTGCTAAAATTGGAGGCAACTCCAAATCGACAGCACTCTGTGGCAGAATGTTTAAAAAGCTACAGTGTTTAAAAACAATGTCCAGAGAAGGGACGTAAAAGGAAAGCCTAAAAGAAAATCACACCATTCTCTGTTCCATTCTCCACCCACGGCCGCCACCCTGGTCCAAGTCCTTCTCCAGCTACACTTGGCATTGCATCAAAGGCCTCTTTAGTTACTCTCCGTCTCTCCCATTCCACATAGTATTGCCAGAGAAATTTTTCCTGAGAACAGTTGAGATATCACCTCTAGGATTCAAAAACCCCAGTGTGTCTTTGTTACCAACATAATAAGTAACTCCAAAATCTTCAGCATGGCATTCAGGCCATGATCTGTCCCCTGCCTACTTGTCTAATGTGTTTCCCACCACTCGTTCTGATGCGTTTCATACTTATAATAATTCAATTTGCTTTTATCTTTCCAAAGTTACTTAAACTTTCAAGTCTTAATTTTCTCCTCTGAAAATGGAGATAGTAGCAGTGTCCAACTCAAAGATTTGCTAGAAAATAAAAATTAGATTATCCCTGTAAAATCACTTTGTGTCTGACATGTAACACTAACTCAATACTAGTTTATCAGTGCCTTTTTTAAAAACATCTAGCAGAGATCCGTGAAATGAGTGATTAAGAACGTGGGCTTGGTGTGGTGGTGCACACCTATAATCCCAGCACCTTGGGACGCCTTGACGGGGGAACAACCTGAGGTCAGGAGTTTGAGACCAGCCTGACCAACATGGTGAAACCCCGTCTCTATTGAAAATACAAAATCAGCCAGGTGTGGTGACACATGCATGTAATCCCAGCTACCTGGGAGGCTGAGGCATGAGAATAGCTTGAACTGGGAGGTGGAGGTTGCAGTGAGCTGAGATCGTACCACTGAGCTCCAGTATAGGCAACAAGAGTGAAATTCCTTCTCAAAAAAAAAAAAAAAAAGAATGTTTGTGAGCTGTTGAATGTAAATGGCCATAAGAGACTTTATGCTAAGTAAAAGACAGGGTCTCACTCTGTTGCCCAGGCTGGAGTGTAGTGATACAATCTTGGCTCACTGCAGCCTCCACCTCCCAGGCTCAAGGGATCTTCCCACCTCAGTCTCCCAAGTAGCTAGGACTACAGGTATACACCACCACACCCAGCTAATGTTTGTATTTTTTGTGGAGACAGGGTCTCATTATGTTTCCCAGGCTGGTCTCAAACTCCTGGGATCAAGCCATCTGCCCACGTCAGCCTCCCAAAGTGCTGGAATTACAGGCGTGAACCACCATTTGGCCTGGCCAGCTAAATTCTTAATGGGAATAAAGATAAGAACATGATTTTTCTAGAAAGTCAAATCTCAGAAGATAAAAAGATCTCTGCTGATCATGGCCTGCCCCAGAATAAAGTAACGGGGGAGGTGGAAAGCCAATGCTCGGGAAGCATGGTGGACAGTGACCAGTGGACCCACATGTCTAATCTCCTAGCCCAGGGAAACACAGCCCCATATGGTCAGGCCACAGGCAGCTGGGTCAGGCATGGTCACTGGGCAGGAGAACCACCTCCTCTCCCAGTACTCAGGCCTCAGGACTTTGAGCAGAGTGCAGGTCCCCACACCAACTGCTGAGGTCCTAAGACCTGTACCTGGGTCCCTGCTCTCCCCGAAGCCTGCTCGTTCAGATATCCTGGAAGCAGGTAATGGTCCTGCAACAAATCCTGTTCTTGAGCTAATCTGGGTAAGCACTGGGTTACTGCAAGCTGATGTGTTGTCTGAGTCAAGGACACTCATCACATCGGGAGGGGCTGAAACACAGGCATTTATACTTCAATGTACATTTTCACGTGTATCAGTAACTAATCGAAGTGTTTATCACTTGAGTTCCTGTGGACCATTGTAAGGTTCCCAATGTTTATTTTGATTAAACCTTCACTCCCACCCTACCCAGATCCCCTGTACAGCTCAGCATTTACAAATCTGGCATGTTTGGGATTTGTGGGTGACATTGAGCAGGGAAAGAGACCAGGAAACAGGACAACTGATGGAAGGCTGGTCTCCAGTGACTAAAAGACAGTGGCACCTGGGCTGAAACCTTGAGCCTCAGAAGGAAAAGGGGGCCTTGTGGCACGGGGAGAGGGGGAGGGGGGAGGGAGGGAAAAGGAGAGAGATAGAGAGCGAGAGAGACAGAGAGCGAGAGAACGAGAGAGCGCAAGAGCGAGCATGGCATGGGGCCAAGCAAAGGGCCACTTTCAAGTGTACCTAACAAAGTCTCCACTAAATACCAGGAAATGCAGCTTCTTAGCAAACAGTAAGGCCAAGGACATTTTTCAAAGCTGTCAAATCAGAATTTTTTTTAAAAGTGTTAAGCCTCAAGCATTAAAACAAATAAACAAACAATTATGTAGCGTTAACAGGGATGGCTTATCCAATTACTTAACCAAATATGCTCATTTATTTGAAAATATGCTTTTCCTAAAGAGAAGAAAAAAACATGAAAAAATAAAAGGGATAATTTTATTATAGTGCAGCTGAACAGAGAAACATAATTAGACACAGAGACAATTTTCTTTCTCCCTCTTCACTCCTCTGTAAAATCTACAGCAATGACTTGTGCTGTTTTAAGGGATACGAAGATTAAGACACATCGTTATTACTGCTCAGATGTTTACAATCTAATGAGGAGGGACAGGTGCACCTAAACTTAAAACCGTCAGTGAAACCTCTGCATTTCAGGACAGGTGCTGATGGTTACAAATGACTCTGAAGAGCCGTGAGAGGGAGCCATTTTGCTACAGCACAAATCTGAGCTTGCGTTTGAATCACTCAGCTAGGAATTCAGTTCATCGGACCTCCCACTAATGAAGCCTGGCTTTCCAGAAGTAGAAGAAAAGCTGGGTATTCAGCAAGATCTCTGAACAGATCGCTAGCAAATGTGAAGCATCTATTGTTAAATATAAGGCAAAGCATTCCCAGTGCCCTGAGAAACATGCAGACAAAGAGCAATGAAAACACAAGAAATAAAGCTATGACTTCGCACAATTCTCATCATTTCCTTTGCAAAATTTGTATATTCCCTTGTCTCCTGTAAATGAATTACTCTTAATGAAGCAAGAATTAAATTAGTACCAGCAAGATCAAATACGGCATTTAAGATTAAACCTGTCCCATTTCTACTGTCAAACTAACAATTTCTATTGAAATCTCTTAAAATGCTAATGAGCATTCCTGCTTCCATCAGCAACTATGATGCTGAGACAGCACAAAGAAAAGTGCCTAGATGCTATATGCTAGCAAGGTCCTTCTCAATAAAGCATAATGGATGGCAGCATTTAGTTTTTCAGGACACCATTCATAATTACCAATTGGTTCAGAGACGGCATTGTGTTTGACAGTGGCAAGGGGGCGGGGGATATATTTCCTAATGAGGTCCTGATTCTGATTGGCCAAGGAGCGAGGTTGACAGAAGAGAACCTTGAAGATATTGCTGAGTGTCTTCTCTGGGATCTGGTGCCCCTGCACCACCTCGCTACTTCTCTGGCAGCAGTGGCTCCATTTTTATTAATAAGCAAGGAAGGGAAATGTGCAAGAATCCTCTTCTGCTAAAAACTTTTTTTTTTTTTTGAGACGGAGTCTCACTTTGTCACCCAGGCTGGAGTGTAGGAGCATGATCTCAGCTTATTGCAACCTCTGCCTCCTGGGTTCAAGCGATTCTCCTGCCTCAGCCTCCCAAGTAGCTGAGATTACAGGCACTCGCCACCACGCCTGGCTGATTTTTTTATATTTTTGGTAGAGACAGGGTTTCACCATTTTAGCCAGGCTGGTCTCGATCTCCTGACCTCAAGTGATCCACCTGCCTTGGACTCCCAAAGTGCTGGGATTACAGGTGTGAGCCGCCATGCCCGGCTGCTGAGAACTCTTTTTTTTTTATTTTTTTTTTTTTTTTTTTGGAGACGGAGTCTTGCTCTGTCGCCCGGGCTGGAGTGCAGTGGCCGGATCTCAGCTCACTGCAAGCTCCGCCTCCCGGGTTTACGCCATTCTCCTGCCTCAGCCTCCCGAGTAGCTGGGACTACAGGCGCCCGCCACTTCGCCCGGCTAGTTTTTTGTGTTTTTAGTAGAGACGGGGTTTCACCGTGTTAGCCAGGATGGTCTCGATCTCCTGACCTCGTGATCCGCCCATCTCGGCCTCCCAAAGTGCTGGGATTACAGGCTTGAGCCACCGCGCCCGGCCGAACTCTTTTAAAAAGACTTGAAAACAGAGCAGAAGATGCTTTACAGTGCTCTCAACTGCTAGCATCATTTAAAGGCATTCATGGCTGATTGCGGACATCTGATGAAGAGCAACACTCCACTTTTCTACGTTTTTAGCCAGGGAGTTATGTCAGAGGGTCCTATGTTAAACTTCTTTGATAAGCAGATTACCACAAGTTCTACAAATCTGAAGTTTAAGGAGAAATGTTAAGTACTACACTAAACTGTTTTCTGTTCTGAAATAGACAAGTCTCGAAAAAAAGTAGCAAGAGTG